AATTATGATAATCCGAAACGAAACCATGTCAGTAGCCCATGGAAGGGGAGAGGGAGTGAATAATGTTATAATGAATTCAATAATAACAATATTAATGTATTTATATAGCGCATTTTCTATATTACAATGTTCAAATGCGCTTTACAATATCGTTAACAGAAGAGGTGAGTTTTTAGATATTTTTTGAAGGTATTGATAGATTGATGGCTACGAAGAGATATGGGTAGGTTATTCCACAGTTTGGGAGCAACGGTCGTGAAGGCTCTGTCACCAAGTGTGGTATAGCATCTAGGGAGATGGGTGGTTCAGGGTGATGCCTTGAGAGGAGCGAAGGGAGTAGCGGGTTGGTTGCCTGGTAGTAATGAGTTCAGATAATAGGTAGTAAAGACAGTTTCAAAAAGTAATTAGCTTGAAATCTATTATGTGAGGTATGTCTAGTGTTGAATAAGCAAAGGAAAACACAAAGTAGTATATCCAGTGAATGTAATAACGAAGGGTATTTTCATTCCTTATCCGTATAAGAAGAAAGCTAAGAGCAAACCGCAGATTATATGATAAATATTGCGATTTCGTTTGTTTGATCGTTTGTTTGCTGGTATTATTTTGATAAGGAAAATGCGCCATGATGATGCCAAATATACTGCGTGGAATGGACGGACAAAATAATATTGTAACCAACCGGGGAAAAGCCCAGAATCGTGTGTTATCAGGACTACGAGAAGACTCACAAATAGTATATTAAAGGTATTACAAAGTTTTGGTATGGGGTCATGAATTTGGTTCAAATTAACATATTGAAAGCATATGCGTTCCTACAATATTCATTGATCGTTGTCCCGGTTGAAATCGAGTCTAAAGTTATGAAATTATAAATAATAAACCCTTTATGTTGTATAGCTCCCTCTCAAGGTCAAGATATCAATTTAGCTATGAAACAATGTTTTTTTACTAAAATCGACTGATTAGCTATTCCCGTTTGGAAATGATATATCACAACTACTTATTCTGAGATAGCGTAGGCGCTATTTGAAATTTATCAAAATTTACCGGGAGCACCGGTAAAATTTTTATATTCAATTTTTTTCGAAAACAGAAGTGTTTTAGGGGTTGATTTTTTTAGTGCCCATAATACATCCACAGGGGCATCATGATCCAAATATATCAAAATTGTAGAGATTCACTATCCACCAAATTTTCAAAATTTCCCAAAACTTTGTATTACCTTTAAAGGTACTATGTCCCTTTGGCAGCCAACCTCAAATTCTGTAGAACTTTGCAGGAATTAGGAATATGTCATGTATGTCCTATCTGTGAAATTTAAACGTTAGCAGTGTCCTCATATTCAAATTATGCAAGGAAACCCGTTTACTTGCTAGACTTCACTGTCAGACACTATTGAGTGACTGACTGGCTTTTTTTCTTCTTTGGTAATAACTTACATGAAAAGAGTTGTAAAGGGTACATGAGGATTTGTCTACATCAATAACCCACTTCTTGTGATGGCCAAGATTAAACTGATTGAATCTTTGGGCAGCATAAAAAGTATGACCATTCAGTACAATTGTCTGAAAATCAAGACTGTTACTTTTGGGCTCTATAGCCCTAAAGTCGATTTGACAACTAATAGTCGTTATTTTCCCACTTGAAGACATTTTTTTGGCCTGCAAATGGGACATAGTTCCTTTAACTCCTTGTTACTCATTACTGGTCGATATGGGCGCAACATGTGGTTTATGCCGTGAAAGCCTTCTCGTTTACCATCGATTAAATAGAAAATGTTTACACACATAATGTTATCTCTTTGTCAATATTATCTCGCCTCGATTACATTTATACAATACCTACCTGCCAACCTAACCTACATAGTTTGTATACCTTGAGGTCGATTGCAATCCTAAAATTGATCCGTTACGAGCATCTAAATTAAAATCCAAGAGGTATTGATACAAGAAATGAATACAAAGATGGCTGAGTAATTACAAATAAAAGATTAAGTTATTTTCATCGGAGTTAATGTTGCTTATCCTTGAGAGCAATCTGTTGCTCCTCCCCTGTTTTGATTAGACATTCTATGGAGCTTATTTATTATTACCTGATATTGATTTCGAAACTACTGAGACTGTGTTAGCAGACAGCCTTTTTCCTTTCATCCTCGTTCCGAACGTTTTAGAAATGTGTAAGAAATTTAATATAATCAGATTTATATGCATGTTTTTAAAAAAATGTAACTACATTGATATACGCCTGAAAAATAAATTTATTAAACAAACGATTCACTACGTTGCAACGTAATTTTAACACTGTTATACACATTTCAATCACATTCAAAATTATAATACGTATTCAAGTTTCAATAATTAAAACAGAGCGTAATGGTGTTTAGTAGTACCTCGTTTTTAAAAACTACGCATTATTCTCGGGAATAAATCAACCTGAACCTAACTTAATGAACCCCGAAGTGTATGAAAAAGGGGAATGGATAAACATAAAAGAGGACTGCGTTTTGCAATATAAAAAGGGCGCGAAAGAGGGTGCATAGACTATTTGAATATTCAAACAAATATTTGAAATTGTATTTGATAGTGACTATCTCATACAGAGTTCAAGCGAGATTTTCAAAATCCCTACCCCGACGCATTTCTCTCATATCACTGAGGATATTGATTCTGAGAACTATACTTCCTCTGATAATAGCTGCAAGTTTGGAAAATATTGTGTAATTCAATGAATGAACATCACTAAAACCCTTTTTTTTAATAAGTTCAGTCTATCAATGAATGTGTCGCTTCCAGCTTAATGGGAGGAAGCATCATGTGTTTCTGAATGTCGAGCATAAATTGATCTAGTAACTGCTCTAAAAGCCCAATATTTGCAAGATTAAACACATTGACAATTTTTTATATTCATAAAATTCAAATTGCGATCCTGATGTATTACGTGAAACATAATTTAGCACCTCTTAATATAATTAATATAATTAATTTATTTCAGTATAATAAAGATTACCATCAATATAATACCCGTTCCCATTCATCAAGCCTTGGCTTTTAGGGGTACCCTGACCATTTAAACTGTATAATTTTCATACATGCATGATTTGTATATTGATTTTTTATTTTAAATGGATAAATAAAACGAATTGAAAACGAATTGAAAAGAAGATGGTTTGATACACGGATTAGTCGATCAAGTAATGCTCTGAGAGAAAAGGGTTTTGAGACATTATGGTCGATGAACCCGACAATTATTTTTTCAAAAGCATTACTAAATCCTTTGTCATTGTAAGAAGCGTTAGACTGCTGAAGAAATTTTTAATACAAGAGCAACCTTGATTCATAAGTTTATTTTTCCGTGTATAATCAATTATCGTCTTCCAGTAAAATGTGTATAATATAGTCTTTCAGGCCTGGTGTATTCAATTCTCCCGCTTTTATTTCTATTTCCGTTCTTTTGTCTCAACGTATGCATTTCATGTTAACGAAATGTACATTATAGAAGTATAGAGAAATGTTACAATTCCTCAAAAGCCTCACAAATATGAACCGTGGTTTATCTATAGTGTTTCATATATCCTTCTCCCCTCCGAATTTCATCCTTTTTTCCTTTGTGTGATCTTCTTCTTCCTTCCTTCTTATTTAAATATTTGTAGGCCTGCTCTTTGTACTACTAATCTCACTGCTTATCAACATGATCAACTTTGGTCATAACTGACTGCCCACAGCAAGAAAGATGTTATCTCATTATCATTAACACAGGATTAACGCCTTTGTGGCCCTCAACGGAGGACCAATGTAAAGGTCTTTATTTTCAAAACAAACTCAGGCAAACTCTTTTCATACTTGAACCTTTAATATCCTATATGCTCTTCACCCCACTGCTCACAAATTGGATTCGATCGCCCGGCCTTACATCATTGTGCAATACTTACTTAATCCTCACCCCTAAACCCGCTAAAGAGTCCCCACTTAGATGGATTAATGGCGGTTTAAGTGTATGTGAAGAATGTGTGGGTGTATAGAAGAGGTCTGATCCACCTCTAATACCGGTAACAGATGACAGTAAAATCCATGACGCCCCAAAAAAGTTTTAAGGAGCCGCACCTGCGGAGAAATTTGATTATTTTGAAAACAATCTACCTGACTTTTTTGTCTGGTATTCAAACAAAGATGGCAGAATGAGCATAGCTAACGAGATATCTCTGCCCGACAGCTCAGGAGAATGACGGCCGCGGAAAAGTTTTCCAAAAACTCCGCGAGACACACCTTTTCAGTCTCGTGGATTCTTAGAATATATTCTAGAAAAGCATGCCAGGCCAACATCGCCGGTCTTATGGGCTGCAAAGCAATAATTGTTATGGCTTTACTTCGTTGTGAATGTTTCATACTGCCTTGTTTATTTAAATTGGTTGTATGACTGCGATTATGGAATTATCTCAATAAAACCGTTCAATCAGACAATATTAATTTGAGCTGGAAGTAAGTCATCGAAAGAATTAGCCGGGTATCATAATTATGTACATTACCTAAAGACCAGTCATGATAACGCATTTTTTAATAAACAATTACTTCTTGATATAATTATACCGAGTCACAACAATCACAAAAAACACATTTCGACGTGTCTCAATCAGATTAATAACAGCATTACATTAACTTGAATTTTTAAAAATATGACTGACGATCAGTGGTATAATATCATAATCTCTGAGTCACTCCTACAATATTTGCTATCAAATGCAATGACGCAAATAATCTGCTGTACTTTGGTCGAATTCCTTTGAATATCTGTTTTCATCAAACACGAATCTTTGTCTTTTACCAAACATCTGCTCGTCAATATAATATAAACAGACATGTATGTACTTTTAGATTGGAATAAATGGTTAACTTTTTTGTTATATCATCCTGAAATATTGTAACCATGTTATGCTTTGCTTCTTAACAATTATTGTTTATTTGTTCATTTATTCGAAGAAAACACAAACGCCTTCCTTATGAAATATTCAAAGAAAAACTTAATCATTTCAGATATACCGCTGAACGTGTTTATGAGGTATTTTGTGGAGTATGAAACCGGATTCATAGAGTGTTTTTTAGATCATGTGTTTGTTACTTTTTAATAGGATGGCTGTAGCCATAAGATTAACATTTGATTGTGTAAGAGTATAGTGCCATCTAATCCGTATATTGTACAAACAAGTTGAAGGTTGATTACTTAATAGGATGTGTAAAGCTTTGTTAATCCGCATTCATATTGGAGAACCAAGAGCCGTGTTGCTGTGTGACTTAATATAACTATCATCATTATTAAATACGACTCCATAAGATGCGTGACTTGGAATAAGCAGAAGGTTCAAAGACAAACTCACCAGTATTACTTCTGCATTTAAAAACCGCTGGGTCAAGTTCAAAGAAAACATTAATTACATCGTTTTGCATTTGACGAGGACACAGAAAATTGGATTCGGGAAAAACATTTTTTCCTTCTAAACTGTGAAAGTGCATGGTATCATCTGTATTTTCACTTTTAATCTTGTTAACTTGTTGCCATTGTCGTCGTTATTGTTGTTACAGATCCCCACATATTAAGGCGAAAGACGATGCTGCTCGCTGCTCGCCGTAGTGATGATATATTGATGCTGTGAATTTGAGTCGTACAACGACAACAGAACTGAAATTCAAAAGTTGATAAGGTTGAAAGAAAATAACAAAGAGCTATCGGAGAGGAGGAGAAGAAAACCATGTCTGATAAAACATTAAAAGTTGACATTCACATCGGAGCCGCCGACGAGCTCCTACGCGATCTCGATCAAGCCATCGAGGGTAAAGACGATCAGAGCTTCGTTACTGGTGATCGACGAGCGAAGGGGACATCGCCGGGTCGGAACAGCTCGAGCGCCTCGGACTCGGGCCTTAGCTCTGAGAGTGAAAGCGTACACGAAGCCGACTACGAGGAAAGAAAAGCCTTGCTGAAATACGTCGAGGATCACGTGGTCGGAAGGGATACTTGGGCATCTGGACCATTTGGTGAAAGACAAGGCAAGTCGAGATATTTTTTTGTTGGTTAATTCATATCATATTTGACCTACACAAATTATCTATAATTTCCATAACGGGCCAAGGTAGAGTTGGGTACGGTGCCCTACAAATTTGAAACTACAACAATTCCTGTCAGATCTTTAAAAAGTATAGCCAATCTTTCCAAATTACTTAATGGGGTACTTACTATTTTTAAGTCCATATAACACCGTTTACCTCATTACCCATGATGAATGAGTGAGAGAAGCAATTCAACGGAAAGATGCACAGGATTTTGGCGCTTTTATCAAATGAGCAAGCGCGGCTGTTTCTTGTCTTGGTGACCGAGGGGACGCTTGTAAAACCCCGAAGAAGAATTTGCATTGGGCTTTTCATATTTTGTATTTGTTTAAAGCCTTCCCTGTATTATTGTTCAAGGGACATGCTGGAACCCAAACAGTGTCGTAAGTGCACAGAAAGTACAATAAGAAAATGTGCTTGCCCCTCTAACAATTTCCTGGCAGCAATTTTAGACCCCAAATGAAGTGTGGAATCTGTGTGCTTGTCAGAGAATGATGGCATTGAAAAGAACCCATATATACCCGATATCTTTGTATCTCCTAATTTTGGTCGTCGGGGAATTTTCAGAAACCACGTTTAATATTGATGAAAATAAATTCTTTCTATAAATCCAAATAATCGCTGGTCATGGTGAAGCTTATTGTTGGGAAGCAGGACATCGAAATATGATAACAATTGCTAACATTATGGCCAAATTAACCCGCGCTTTTGAAAATGTCATTGTTGACTGATTGAATCTTTGCGCAGCACAAAACGTACACCATTCGGTCCAAGGGTCTGAAAATCAGACTATTTACTGAAAGGATTGCAATGCCTAAAGTCGATTCGACTAATAACGGTCATCATTTTTTTCACAAAAAGACATTTTGAAGTCCTTTGTTTTGAAGGAAGTTCTAAATTAGTATTATCTTTCAAATGCCGGTGAAATATAACCTTTTCATTTGTTTGGCCTGCAAATGGAACATAACACCTTTAAGAGACAATATAAAAATTACGTTGTATAAGTTGTCATATATACTCCCATTTTATTCTGCTTTAGTCCAAGAAATCAATTTGAATAACAGAATTCTTGAACTGAACTTTAAGCAAAGTTTTAGGGGTTGTATCAACTTGTCAAGCCACATAGGCTTTTACTGATTTCATTTTTAGACTATTTGTATTTAAATGTTAGTACTCTGTTTCACATATTTAAGTTGATTTTATATGTACATTGTAAATGTTTATAACCTGTTTTTTAGGTTTTTTTTTACTGAATTTGAAATAAAATGTATCAATCAATTTATTCAGGTAGCTTTGCACAAAAACATGAGATGCTATAATTATAGGTCCCTACCGTAAATATAATTACCATTTTTTTTTAATCGCAGGTTTTATCGATGCTTATAATCCATCTCTGATCTTTTTAACAGAATTGAAAGAAAGGATCGTGAAATTGTAGTAAAAACATGCTTGATTATTTTAGAGCGAATTGACAGTGGCTTTGTTATTTTTTTAAACTTTATTTTGTTTCTCTAGAGTTTTACTCCTCTCTTTGTGCAATGATATACACAGGATATAGGTCCAAATACAATGCCAAGTACAAAACAAAATCCTTTATTCAGATCAAAGAGTTTTGTCCCCAGTCGTACCAGCTTAAAAATCATAATCCTATTCATGGGCATGGCTACGGGGCGTAGGACTTGTCCCACCTTCGATTCGAATGGCGAGAAAACAATAAGAGAGAGAGAGAGAGAGAGAGAGAGGGGGAGAGAGCGAGAGAGGAGAGGAGACGGGGAGGGAGAGAAAGAGAAAAAGAGGGTTTAAACATTTGAGTTGTGCATTTCTGTTAGCCAATACTAACTATTATATTTGCTATCCAAATTGTTTAAAAAAAGAGAAGAAAAATTAAAACGTAGAAAAAGTGGAGAAAAAAAGTTTAGATCATTCGTCAATCAGGAACGGTATCCAGCCATTACACGCGCGGCCTTGACAAGTCATGTTTGATGTCTAAATTCTGTCTGGTCTGGTATTCTTTTGTAGTGAGATTAGTTCAAATGACGTAACTTTCTTTAAAATCACCCCCTCGATGTATCTAAAGAACCGGCTCTAACCTCGTCATAGAAAATGAAAATCCATCGTTATCCAATTCGTTATGTCAATAATCCAAGGAGTTAGTCGCCAGGTTGATCTTTCCGCTTCATTTTACCTCAATCGAATTAAAATTGGTGTCAGATCAAGCATTTCACGGTAAAGTGGATGAAATCGATCAACATTGTCTTGAAATTGGCTTAATCGTACAAATCAGCCCCTTTTATTGATTGAGAGTCTCTTGGGGATCGAAAATATAAGGATGTTAAGAAGATACTCAAAAGAAGGAGAATAACTAGATACGTCACCAGCAGGGACTATTCAAGATGAATGAACCGATAAGTGTCGCCTACCCCATCCCTGCGCCTAACCCGGCCACCCGCCACACTTATAAGATTTTTGGAAAGCTATTACTGGGCTTGCATCATTAGGATTGAGAAAAGCTTATTCTTAGGGGAAAAATCAGCTCTCTTTCATGATGTTTGGTGACTTTTACAGATTCACCAAATTTCGCAAAGTTAAGCACGATATTCCCTATTCGAATAATCACGATTATAATTATGAACAAAAAGTTATGGCACGTACATGTATTTTAAGCTCTTCCAACTTTTACCTTTATCATTCAACGCTTTAAGATCTAACCGTACTGTATGTTTTCAAACCAATCAAATTCAAAGGTTGCAACATCAAAGGGATCCGTTAACTTTGTCTTAGATCCTTTAAAAAAATCCTTGATTTAGCTCATGCTGCAATGATAATTATAAACCTTTAGGTCAGTCAGGAACCCCGTGACTTTTACAAGCCGATCGCCTGTCTGATTATCAAGATATTTATGATTGAAAATCGAAATCAAATTTTGCGTTTGCCAAACGGTTTTCATCACACTACAGTCTATTGGGGAAAACGAGTATGGTAAAACCGGTCACTCAAAGGGTTTTACTTTTTTTGAGGCACTTCTTGATCATTTTGAAGCGCAACATTGTTAGGGCTTCAATATAACACCATATCACAGACACTGATAACACATAGGACCGTGCATCTCATATTTAACATTGTTAAACGAAACCTTTAAGGCATGATATTTTACATTTCAAAACAAAATAATACAAACTTTTTTGTTCATTAGACGCCCCGTAATTAATGAAAATCAAATATCACTTGTTAAGATTTGAGGAGGCAAAGATGTATATAATTATATTCCATGTTGAAATGATAACATTTGTGTATCAGTAGGTGAATGCACTTCCAAAGGCGCCAAATGGGGTCAAAGTCCTCCTGGCAGTTAGACGCATAGTACTATACGCGTCTTAACTGCGAACCATGAAAAAATCCCGAGTTTATCCCGAATTTCGCGAAAAGTTATCATTACTTTTTAATGCCATTTTAGGCCACATTTTCGCGAAAATTTTACCTGGAGAGGAGACAATGTTCTTATATTTACCAAAGTCTCGCATGGCACCAGTAAATGGATATCAATTATATTAATTGCATACCCGGGATTTCTTCGATGAGGGGGTGTGTATATACTTATTATTATAGGGTTTCATCGTTTTTCTCTGATGGAAAACAGCGTTAGATTGTAACCTGATATACTACTCTGGAAGACAGCGTAACGACGGAGCGCACCCCCCCCCCCCTCTCCCCCAGAAAAAAACACACAGGAATGTTGAATATTGGAACCTGACATTCTAATGCATTACATATTCTGTATTGAGAAATTAGCTTATCATAATTTTGCGCTGTTTACATTTTGTTTGTTTGTAAGGGCACGGATGGGGACTAGGAAACTGTGGGGGCATATTTCTTAGACCCCAGATTATGAAATTCTTTATATGTGTAATGTGTCTTCACGGAGAAGTGCAAGTAAAGGAAAAATCGGATATGAAAATTGTCAAATGGATTTTGGGTAACCCGACACATGCTCCGGCGACGATTACTCCGGTGACATGCTCCGCAAAAAGCGACAATCGCTCCGCGACATTTGCTCCGCGACATTTGCTCCGCCGACAATTGCTCCGCCGACATTTGCTCCGCCGACAATATTACTTTCATGGGTTATAGATATTTTGTATGTGTGATTTGTTTTGTTGTTGTTATTCAGGTGCCTGGCATCGCTTTTTAATCACTGATGTACAACATGCATTACGAACATTAAGCTATAGCGTAGCGAGCAAGCGAATTGTCATCCTTTTCATATAATAACTGAAAACCATCTGCCTGCCTACCACCCTTTTTTAAATCAATGATTATTACACATACATGTAGGCCTATATTTCATATTCCATTTTATTGCTCATTTTCCCCGACGTGTCGCGACGCTCTTTTTTAAGGTGTAGGAAGTGACCCATTTTTTTACCTCTGCCTAGTTAGCCTTTGTACTTTGATACGTGCTCCTTTTCTTTGCTAATAAGTGTTAAAACCCTTTTGATAGTGTCCCCTTTTCCTCTCATCATTACATGTGCCCCTAATTTCAAGCGAATAAGAGAGATTTTCCCAAAGGCTCGCTCGCTACTCTCGCTCGTAGTTATTATAATAATGTAACTTAACAAAGGCGTTTTCAGTCTTCCGTTATGAGAATGTGCTTATAACCTCATCAAGATTGGGTTTTTCCTCTTTATGAAATGTAATTTTTTGCACTGCGACCTCACAAATCTTAAACATTTTCCTCGTTCGCAAATGAATTTTCAGACCATCACACCCAACTGCAAATTATGATGCTTAAGCAATATCTTATATGATCTATCAAGATAAACAAATATTGAAATCATCCCCGATAATATAATCACAATATAAAGGGGTGGTATATATGTCTAAAAAATTGTATATTTTCGCTTTGAGATTTCCCTTTGAAGGTGCCCCTTTTTCCAGAAAGTGCCCTTTTTTGTTGGTGCCCTCTAACTTTGGAAGTCGCTCCGCCGCCTGTGATCTACCTGCCTTCCGCCCTTCTTCATCTGACGTTTAGGAGCTGCACATTCGTCAAATGAATATGTTTAAAATTATAATCGCGAGTTAGCGTAGCAAGACAGCGAGCGATTTTTGTTGAACTTCTCTTTTGATAATAATTATAGACATGATTTTTAATAAAGTAACTGTGTCTTTCTTTTCCCGTGAAAGGGAGGGCACAAACACATTTAAAGGTACTATGTCCCTTTTGCAGCCAACCTCAAATTCTGTAGAACTTTGCAGGAATTATGATATGTCATGTATGTCCTATCTGTGAAATTTGAACGTTAGCAGTGTCCTAAAATTAAAATTATGCAAGGAAACCTGTTTACTTGCTAGACTTCACTGTCAGACACTATTGAGTGACTGACTGGCTTTTTATTCTTTGGTAATAACATACATAAAATGAGCTGTAAAGGGTACATGAGCATTTGTCTATATCAATAACCCACTTCTTGTGATGATCAAAATTAAACTGATTGAATCTTTGTACAGCATAAAACGTATGACCATTCGGTACAATGGTCTGAGAATCAAGACTATTACTTATTGGCTCTGTAGCTCCTAAGTCGATTTGACTACTAATAGTCGTTATTTTCCCACTTGAAGAAATTTTCAAGCCCCACCTTTTTTAGGGAAGTTCTAAATTAGTATTATCTTTCAAATGCCGTTGGAATTTAACCTTTTCATTTTTTGGGCCTGCAAATGGGACATAGTACCTTTACCTTGGCGAGCGAGCATAGCAAATGGTCGAAATTCTTGGGCTTGTCATTTCATATTGAAAAGCATCTGCGTGCCTTGCATCGCTTTTTAATCACTGATGTACAACATGTATTACGAACATTTAGTTATAGCGTAGCGAACAAGCGAATTTTCATCCTTTTCATATAATAACTGAAAACCATCTGCCTGCCTACCACCCTTTTTTTAATCAATGATTATTAAACGAGCATGTAGGCCTATATTTCATATTCCATTTTATTTCTCATTTTCCCCGACGTGTTGCGACACCGCGCCGGCAGGATTTACCGTCATTAATTATACCGACACCGTTCCGACACAAAAGTTATAGGCCAATGCAAAAATATGGAAATTAAATCTTCACATATTTTATTTTGTGTCCCTTTTTCCTTGTCTTTAGCCTTTTCGTTTCTCTTTTCTTTTCTTTTCCTTTCTTCCTATCTTTTTTTTTGCTGCCAAAGGGAGCATTAGTCTTTTACGGGGCTCTCCTGCTACGTCGGCGGAACATTTGTCTTCAACGGGGTACTTTGGGGAAGGAGCAATGTTGGAGCATTTGAATTTTACAGGGCACTTTTTGGGCGGAGCTGTCGGAGGAGCAATAGTCGGCGGAGCAATTGTCGGCGGAGCAATTGTTGGCGGAGCAAATGTCGTCGGAGCAATTGTCGGCGGAGCAAATGTCGTCGAAGCAAATGTCGGCGGGGTAATTGTCGGCGGAGTAATTGTCGGCGGAGCATTTGACGTCGGAGCAAATGTCGCGGAGCAATTGTCGCGGAGCAATTGTCGCTTTTTGCGGAGCATTTGTCGGCGGAGCAATCGTCGGCGGAGCATGCGTCATGGATTCGGATTTTGACTTGACACTTTGATAATCATGGTGGAATCACAATTTCCGATATAATTGAAAAAGTCCATTTTAAGGAAGTATTCATGCATATTTATGTCTTTCATACTTTTTATACCGATTATATGGTATTGTATTGTATGTTCATTTTTATTTTCTTCATTCCCCCCTTCAGTTGTTTACTGTGATTACACAGCATCAGGAAGGTGAGAAGTTATTTTTTATATTTTTCAAGTCAGAAGATTTACTTGCTCATATTTTTATATAATAATAACGATCTACGCCTAGTAAGTCAAGTAGGGGAAATAACATTAAATGTTGCGTGAATAAAACAGGGCTCATCATGCTCATGAGCAATGAATAAAATCGTCATGTGTCGAATTATTAGTATAATTTACTTTTAATGGTTAGCAATTTGTTTTGTCTTGCTAATGCTATGTCAGCAAAGCAAAAAATAATCAAGATCTATGATCATTGATGGGTGATCATATTTTTAATTAATTAAAATGTGGATTACTTAAACAAAATTGGAATGATTTATTTTGAATTGTTAGTAATGTGTCTAAAAATTGCATTTTCAAGAAATGAGATTTACGACCAGCAAGAAATGCATCTTTATTCCGCATTCACATTGTAACCGTGACGTCTTTTCCATTTCCCCTTTCTTTCAGACCTTTTCGCTTATGGAGGATATTTTAACCGTGATTTTTTTTCCTTTTCGATTTCAGACATCTTTCGTTTATAGAGGATTATATCACTAAACATGTTCAACCACTGTATGCCAACACCCACACCACTACTGGTATCATGGCACGACAAACCACACGATTCAGGAAGGAAGCAAGGTAGGTAGGGACCGTGGCGTAGCTATAAGTGGGGGGGGGGGGGGTGATTGGCAGGGGTCTGCGCTCCAATCGAATGGCGAAACGGTGAGTAGAAATGGAAACTGTTGTATGTATCGCAAATAAATGTTAACGCCCTTCTGGCTCCAAACAAATTATTATCACACCACCAAACACTGTTTCCATTTCAATTTGGGGATATTGAATTTCTTCAGAGTAACCCCACATTAATTTATAGCAGATATTTGCGCTTTCAAATGACCCTGATTCTTGTTTTTCATCTTGCTTGCAGAGACATCATCAAGAATTGTGTGAACGCGACAGAAGATGATGCTCTGATCTTCACTGGTAGCGGGACCACTGGGGCAGTCAACAAACTGGTATCAGCTCTTATGCTCACGGGTGAAAGAGCCAAGAAAGCGGTACGTTCATTATTGTGTTCCCACTTTTCCCTCTCAAAAGTAGATGTATGTAAAATAAGCAGTAAATAGACGTTCAAACTAATATTTGGTTAGTCCAATAGCCATTCATAATGAAAACAATAAGACTGCAGAAATTTATGTGATAGAATATCAAGAAAGTGATTGTCTTTTCCACCCGTTTGAAGCAATGTATGTTTTCAATGAAATGATACAGTACATTATATAATTAATATCTCAACACATTTCTCTCAACAACCAGAGATGAGGTAGGTAGACTACGTAGCGATGATAAAAGTACAAACGAGAGTTCAACTCAGATCATCAAAGCACAAGAGGGGCTTGAATCAATTGGATAAAATTTGTAAAACATTGTTACTGGATATATATATAGCTCGAACAATGAGAATATCTGCATACAATCAACTTCTGTCACGCAGCATGCCAGCGCCAGCGTTAATCGGTGTTCTTCTTGTTCAACAGCGTTGAGCTCCCCTCGACGCTCCTTTGTTAATATATATTGACTAAAATTTAGTACTATCATCTGGACGGTTCCACATGAGAGCTTTGCCACTAGAGCAATAACGTTTTGACTGATGACCTAACAGCTACCAGACAGATGCGGGTTTTAACTGTTCTTTGTCCAGCATAATAGAATATCAAGGTCGGAAGACTGCATGATGAATTAGAATAGGACACATGATATGAGGTAAAATACGTTACAATGATAAAAGTTCAAATGGGAATTCAATTCAGATCATGAAGCACAAGTGTGGCTAGATTTAATGAGACGAAATTTGCACAACAGTCAGACTGCAGCGCCCGCTTAATTGTTTTTGTTATATCGTAGTCGGTTTTAAAGCGTTTTCTATCGTCGTTGGATGATTTTCGCCGCGTCCATCGGTGTTCATCCTACTCAATACCCATGTTCTCCCTCGAACCTTCTTTGTAAACAGATATCGATTAATATTTAGTATTATTATCTGGACGGTTCCACTTAAGAGCATTTACCAATATGACAATCATGTTTTGACTGTTGACCTAACGACGACGAAACAGTTTCAGCTGTTGTTGTTTGCCTTTGCCAAGCGTGTATAAAGAGAATAATAACCCAGACAAGTACCCCGTCTGACAATTTTCCCTGAAAACTACCCCGGACAAGTACTCCCAGGATAGTTACACATGAATATCTACCCCTGGAACAACTATTCCGGAGAATTACCCTAGGATAATTTCCTATGAACAACCCCTCGGACAACTATCCCGGACAACGATCCGTAAAGGACAATTACCTTAAGAAAACAACCCTTGACTTGATAAAGTACCCAACTGGGACATTTACACCAAATTTCGTATGTTAGTGGGATTTTCACAACTTTGTTTTCCTCCTCCCTTGCAGGTTGTGTTCATTGGGCCATACGAGCATCACTCTAACATCCTACCATGGAAAGAGTCGGGAGCTAAGGTAAATATCTAAAGCAGGGCTAGTGGGGAGTGGGGGAGGGGGTAGCTTGTTATTACATTTGTAACATTAAAACGTTCATGCATAAGCTCATTCGAAAGCTCATAAAAACAGAATTGGCATTGATACTTTTCAGCTCTTATTCCGCCCCATTTTCCGGACAGTAAGCGAACTACCCCCTCTTTATGAATACGTCAGTGCTAAAACTCATCTGACTAATGCAACATAACCCTTTACCTAATACCAAACTCATCAGTGTCATAATGGGACTAAACAAAACTAAAACGTCCACTTTTGCGTTTACCTCACTGTATTATAAGTCCAATGAGCCTCGCTAGACACAATTATGCTAGAATCTACCTTGACTTTTTGAGAGGTTGTTATGAAATGTGGAGGGGGGGGATTAATGAAGACAATTAAACCATGTGAATTTATTCTTTTTCGCAGGTTGTACGGATTCGAGATGACGAGCATGGGATGGTGAATTTGAAGTTGTTGGAAGAATCTCTCGAAGTAAGTTTACTGCGACACTGTCCTACCGGTAGCTACTTGCTCCCTCTATATAGAAAACAATGCCTAATCGGTGACCATTGGTCCCCATGATCCTCTTTTTCTTATGTTAATTGAGAGCTGAGTTGATGAGATAACCACCTGTCCAGTGACCTTGCAGTGTGGTCTAATCCCTCCTATAAACTAGTACAGATAAGCTTTAACACAATCACAAAGACTTTCGAAAGTCAACCTCATGCACCTGTAATTGTTTTGTGCATCATCTTTTGAAATACGCGGTTATTACCATGACATATTACGTAACTCAGTTATGATTTTCTATCAGTAATGTAATGAGGCAGTTAAAGCATGGAGATATCTCCCTGGTTAAAGTGCCATCGAGTTGATTTCTGGAAAGTCTTTGCGATCGTAAAATGCTCCTGAAAGTTTTCCAAGCTAACAAAATTGGCCCTCTACTTTGATAACATGTCTTTGCCACAGTACAATATTACCATTCTCTCTTACCGTAGACAAAAATATTTCAAAAACCTCTCCTATATTGGTTGGGCCTACTCAGGTTCAAGAAGATCACTTCGCTAATTTCGAGAATAAAATTTTCAGAGATTATAGTATAACAACATCACTTTCTTTACATACAGATGTATCAGAAGAAAGGTCGGCTTCTGATTGGTTGTTTCTCAGCAGCGTCAAACGTCACCGGCATCATCTGCAAAACTGACCCCGTGGTGGCGCTCTTACACAAATATGGCGCTTTATCGTTCTGGGATTATGCAACAGCGGGTGAGAAATTTTGTCTGATCGTAAATCCTTGATTGCTAAGTTGAACGTGAATATGTGAATATTAATAACGAGCAACATTTCACGTGTTGCTTTCTTCATTGCACATGAGTTACCGAAAGTACAAAAGCCCTTGAATTCTCTTTTTCAGGGATGGGATCCTGCTTAAATTCTTCGTGCTATGTAATTATCATAACTATCTAAATTTATTTGTCAAGGTATCTAATTTTGATTTGATTTGACTATACTTCTATAATGATGTATATATATACAATCATTCGTGAGGATTTTCGTTGCATTGCTTGATTGTAAGAAACATACTGACAAAACTTATTTTTTTCATCTTTCTAAAAAGAATATGATCGGTGGGAAAGATTTTCGAGAAATCAACTGAAGGGAAATTCCAATATCCTATATAAGTGATATGTCATTCTAATATTTACACATTAAAATGGGTGATGAAAGACGAGGTTATTGAAATTACATTTTCTTTGAAAGCTACCGTCATTGCATGATGATATACCGGTTCTACAGCTATTATATTTTGACTATTATTTTCTTCAAATTTGCATCAGGTCCATACCTGAGGATAGACATGAATCCTGCGCACACCGGGTAAGTCCCCTTCGGTTCTCATCCCAATCACAGCTCAAAGATGATTCATACATTTGAGTTTACAACTGGGTTGATTTATTTATTACATTTTTGCAAACTTTTAGTCATAGTCATGTACAATAGAAGTACAAAAAGTTAATAGAAAAACCATCCAAATTAGTAAAAACGGTATTTTGGAAATTGCATATTTGAAAACCTCGGTTTACAACCAGGTCGGTAAAATTATGATCGTATATTCAGTGCAATGCACTTATACAATGTCAGTGTCGAGTTTCATGATAAGTAAAGCCGGGAATATTGATTTGTCTCGGGAAATGGATCGGTTTACTATCTACCCTCTTGATATAGATAAGCATAGTTATATGTGAGGGGCAGGTACAGGACTTCGACAAAAAGGAGAAGAAATAAGAATAAAATAAAATTCATCACCTCAAAACGGGGGGGGGGGGAGGGGGCAATTTTTTGACCGTTTGTACTGAGTGCTTGTCATTTCTTTTCAAGAGAACACGGTTTTGTCCCTTTTCCGCCTGATCGCCTAAAACTGTTGAATGTCCGCAGTTCTTTTAATTTCATGCATTTCGCACCTTATAATAATTTTGTTTCAATGATATTATTTCCTCTATCTCTCCGTCTATCAGTTATCTTGTGAATTTGATTTCAAACAATGAGCCATACGTTTCTTATTCATTTTGATAAATATAGAATCGAGGGGGACTGCCGAAAAGATGCCGTCTATCTGTCACCGCACAAGTTTGTCGGAGGAGTTGGCACACCGGGTAGGCTAGATAGTTCCATGAAAAGACGTTTGTAACGGAATTAAGCAGAATAATTAGACCATTGCACCATTCTCGACTGCAAAACTTGAATCAAGATCAAGATTTCAATAATCCTTTTTTGTCATGTTACTTGTCAATCAATGTGTGGTTTTCGTATAATTATACTAAGTGATTTTTTTTTTTTTTTTTTTTTTTACTGATGGCGAAAGATTTCTCTAAATTTTCTACTAAACTCCACTAAACAGATTTAAAATAGATTTTATTGTAATAATATTTCTTTCTTCGCTTTTTCACAGGAATCCTCATCGCGAAGAAGAAGCTGTTTCTCAACGCTGTACCTCACTCCGTCGGCGGCGGCACTGTTTTATATGTGAGAACAAAGCCGTTTAATTGCTTTCATTTGGACTCGAATTGGCGTATATTCTGTTGTTTGTACTTGCCTAACAAAGCATGATTCGCCATGATGGTCAACTTCAATTGGGTTGGTCAAACTCTCCCAATTAATGGCTCTGTTTGAGAAAAACATCATTGCATAGACTTTCAAAAATCAAACTACACACTAAAAAATAATGGTACAAATTTGCACCCTATAGGGTGCAGATCGCTGCTACAATAGCAGCCACCTATAGGGTGCAATTTTGCAAACTTGCACCCTATAGGTGGCTGCTATTGCAGCAGCGATCTGCACCCCAAATGTACCCCTATTTCTTAGTGTGTACACAGAAATATTAAATGCCATTACATTGACATTACAATGACATTGGCTACTTGTATTACGTAATCTGACCATGCTTTTTATAGGTAATAAGATATCAATATCACCCGTAAATTGATATGTTGCATGTCTTTAGGATTGTGTTAAATATATATTCTGCAGTTTTTGTAATCCTTTGCCTTTAAGTTGTGCATTATAAATAATCAAGCCAAGTACGTTTTCAAGTCAAAGTTCATTTCTCCACTCTGGTATCAGCTAGCTTAAAAAGAACTAATTGTAAACGGATGACGTAGCTCAATGGAAGAGTAAGGAAAATCCGATGAAGGATACAAAGAATGTCATAAGCTTTATTCAAACTCAAATTGGCAACGATGTGACCTATCTTTGAGCAATGAACAAACGGTTTATTTTGAACATTGTAGGCGGAAAGATTTATTTCTTAATTAAAAACCTTACAGATTATATTCAATAATTTTTTTTTAAATATTTGTTTTGTAAATAGATGTGTTGCCAAAGCGAACACGAATATTCATGACGACTATCAACTGAATGTGCCACTTACGTTATATTACAGGTAACACGAGACACACACCATTACCTGCATGATATTGAAGAGCGTGAAGAAGGAGGAACGCCAGCTATCGTCGAGTCTATCCGAGCCGGACTGACCTTCAAAGTAAAGAACAGCATAGGGACCGACATCATCGGAGAGAGAGAGAAAGAACTCACTTCGTAAGCGATCACACTCATTCATTTGATTATATTCATAACAGGGTTCCTAGCTATGCTGAAAATTGGGGAAAACTTGAAGAAGAAAAAAAGGTTCCCAATTTTAGTATTTTTCACATAATTTGATTTGGTATTCATGTACTAGTATAACAGGATTTCCAGCCATTCTTCAGATTATCAGGAAAGACTGGGAAAATGACATTTTCCTGTTTTTATTCTATTCTATTCGTAACGGTGTATCAAAGTATGCTATAGAAATTGGGCAAAATATTGTAAAAATATGTTCCCCCTTTTCAAGTTTTACAAGTCGATTCTATAAACTAATATTTATAACAAGGTTCACAACCATTCTCGAAATCAGGAAAAACTTGAAAAATGAGTCCCTTTTGAACTGCATTGATAACAGATCGTTGATATCATTTCCTCGAACAATTATTTGTACCGCCCGATTTTATTTGTAAATCGTTATCAACAAGCAACTTGATTAAATCAAGCCTCACTCTTATCATTAACATCTAGAATTGCCTTCTCGAGATTGAAGAGGAATGGAAACATCATCTTCCTGGGCAGCACGAAGGCAGATCGACTCCCTATCTTCTCCTTCTTGATCATCCATCCTAAGACAGGCAAGATGCTTCATCATAACTTCATCGCAGTCCTCCTTAATGACCTCTACGGTATACAGGCCAGAGGTGGATGCGCATGCGCAGGACCTTATTCTCAGGCAAGTTTTATACGAGGAAATGTGGAATATTAATATACAAATAATACACATCAGTGAAGGCATTAGTAAAAAATTACCCGCACGAGGTACCTTTTAAACATCTAACACGCCCAAGGCAATAGCCGAGGGTGTTTGGACTGTGTTGAAGGTACCGAGTGTGGGTAATTTTACTAATGCCCGAACAAAATAATGTGTATTATTTGTTTTTATAAGATTATGCTTTATTTGTTTTATAAAAAGATGTTTATAACATGATGTTGATAACCGGTCATTACCATTGGATAATGACCGGTCATTATCCAAATTACGCGTTAGACAAAATAAATGCCTGGTCACGTGTACGCTTTCAACCAATCATTTCATTAGGATCCACGTCATCATCTTATAAACCAAGGTTATCCTTCTATCAGAGTTCTTTGTCAGAGACCGTTTTATTTGCCCTCTCTTTGTCCTAATTGTACTTTCCGTTTATATTTATTGTCCGACATCGGTTTCCAGTTCATTTTTGCGGCTAACTCTGATGATCGATTGCAGAATGACCACGCTAACAAGTATTATTCATTCATTGCTATTCTCAGAATTCTATGTGTATAATTATGAATATTCTGCCCGTTTACATTCCAATTTTAAGTAATTTAGTGAATTGGTATCTATTTACCTCATTGAGTCACGTCAAAGAAACTTTCCTTGGAGATTAGTGGTTTTTCTACAACAGAAAAAAAATCTTGAGTAGAAAATTCGTTTGAAATATACATGTATGTGAAATGAGCGGTCCACAGATTTATTCACCTTTTTTGTAATTGTACGTTCCAATAATGAAAAAAGAGGACGAAAAAGTGGCTGATAATTGTTGTTATTAATAATGGGTGCTTCAGGTAGACCGTTATAATACTAATAATAATAACTCATACGGAATACTGTCTCTAAGCGCTTTCTACATTACCCCGGTCATTGGATTCATTCACGCCCACAGTGTGCACAATCTCCACTCCCTGGGGAGTATTCCTACCACATGGCCATTGTAAGGTCATAATGGCATTTTTTGTCAACCTATGAAGTTCTTATTTCTCGCCAAATGTAGATTAATGCCTTGCCAAAGGACATAGTGCCGTGTCGGCATCGAACCCACGACCTTGGTATTTCCAGTCAGGGGTTAAACCAATCGACTACGAGTCTAAGACACCTCTACTATATGCCTAAAAGCTAGTTGTGAACTACCTGGATAAATATTAGTCGATTGAGTAATGTTTTTATTTTATTTCCTTCTCTTTTTTACCACTTTAGGATCTATTGGGCATAGATGAGGACCTTGCTGCTAAGTTCGTATACTTCCTGAAAGATGACAGGTAAAATATGCCCACACCCAATATTTTCATTTTTGTTGATTTCTTATGGTATATTACATACATATTGGCTTCCTTTTTATTGATTCACACCCTATATTTCATTTTGATATCAATGTTTTGATTCTAAAAGTTATACATTTCAATAAATATGCAAATATAAGGAGCATTTCTAGAGTATGGGGGGGGGGGAGGTTCGTGGATTGCATAATACATAGCACGGCATTATTTTAAATTCATCCATATGTGTCTTTTTATCTTAAATAGTGAGTTGAAAAAGAAGAAATCTAAGCAACTCATTGAGAAGCTGAAGAAAACGCCAGCACCACTAGAAATAATGAAGTAAGTATACCACTTTGTATTCTTAATATTATATTTGTTTAACCCTACTCGGTGTAAGCTAATATATCTCTCTCTCTCATTCTCTCTCTCTCTCTTTCTGTCTATCTCTATCTGTATGTCTCTATCTGTCTTTCTCTCTATCTCTCCATGTCTCTCTCTCTGTATCTCTGTATCTCTTTCTCTCTCTCTCTCTCTCTCTCTCTCTATCACCTAGTCATTCTTTAACTTTTCTTGATTTCTTTTTCTTTTCTTAACCAATTTTTCAATAAAATTATAATATTATTAGAGTTTCAATTTTGGGTTTGTCGTGTAGTGGTAGTTAAAATGGCATTTGGTTGATAATTTTAAATTTGGTTGATAACATTTTAGCGCTTAGAGACTTCGGTGGTAAGCGCTTTATAAGTAACGTTTTTTTTATTATTATTATTATTATTATTATTATTATAATCGATTTGTTTTTCTTCTTCTTTTTTTCTATTTTTGCAGACCTGGGTTCATCCGTCTCAACCTTCCTTATTTCTTTTCTGAAGACGTGGTGGACTATGTGCTCGAGGCGGTTGATGCCATCGGAAAACATGGATGGAAGGTGCTCTCACAGGTCTGTATAGATTTGAAGAGAAGGTTGCGTTCTGGTCAAAATGAAACATAGTTAGTGACCTCTCTCATTTCTTTTTATCTCAAAGGAAAGAATGTGATAGAAGAAATGTCACGGGTTGCTTTTAAAAATGACTTCAGAATCTAAATGTAACTGATAATACTTAATAGGCCTATTTTGGAAGTATTTTTGATGCAACTTGTGTAGGCGGTAATTTTTGTTTTACACATTGTGTGTTTGGTGCATTTCTCTGTTTGAAAGTCTAAGCAAGACCATGTCGATAGCTTGTCACTCTGATGATCGTTAAACATCTCAATAAACGATATGTACTTGATAACCACTCTTCCATAATAACTTCACAATGCAACCACAAGACCAAATACATCTTTAAGACATATTTTTGTGCTCGGATATTTAGCTTTCTCTTTTGAAAGAGTAGAGTCTGGGAAAGAAATTCTGCATGGCAGCTTGAAAATTAAAAGGAAGCCAAGATTATCAAAACTGAAAAGCGCTAAATTGTTTGATACGGAATACACATGTCCCACTGATTGTCACTTTCATTTAATCTAGTGAGAGTTGGTGTTATGTCTGAAGAAGGTCGTAAATAAGCAACATATTTCTACTTTTCTTTTTGGTAGGTTTTTTAAACAAAACAATGCATCGAATACTTAAGTAAACAATTTGTTTTAATAAATCTTTTGGTATGGTTTACCGACTCGTAGTAGCAAATCCTTAACTAGTTATCATATCCTGGGATACGTTAATTCATATTTATTTACAAAGAGTTATAGACAGCCTTCTGGCTCTAAACATTATTTAGAATCTAAATAATGAAGATTACACCTTTGTTTCACCCACTATGTTTCACAGTACACGTGCGACCCTGTCAAAGGGAGTTGGACGTACGTCGGTGCTGTGGAATCAGGTACGATATCGCACCAGACAGAAAGTCTGCATGACGCCATCTTTAGTCAAGGGAGTTTTATTGTCCCGCCTTCCCATTTCACGAATACTCGACAAACCATTCAGACAGAAGCATTTGAGGTAAGCCTTTTAGTCATTTACAGTAGTGCACTGATACTGTGGTGATTTGTAGTGTCCTTCGGTGTATATAAATATTGAACGATAAAACACCACCACCATCACCACCACCACCACCACCACCACCACCAACACTTTACTACTACTACTGCTAGGCCTACTACTACTACTACTACTACTACTACTACTAGTACTACTTCTACTAGTACTATTACTACTAATGCTGATGCTGCTGCTGCTGCTACTACTACCAATACTATACGAGTACTACTACTCTAGTTACTCTAATAGTAGTTGAATTAGTAGTAGTAGTAGTAGTAGTAGTAGTAGTAGTAGTAGTAGTAGTAGTAGTAGTAGTAGTATAGTAGTAGTAGTAGTAGTAGTAGTAGTAGTGGTAGTAGTAGTAGTAGTCTAGGGAGACGCTGCAAGCGGAGGCGGACGTGTTTCTGCTGAGCTCCCTTGTTTCTCATATTTTTTTCCGTTTTGGCGTTTGTTTCTATGCTGTGATTGGTACTAAAGTGATGATCTGGACGCGTACAAGCCATTTCTAGGATGAGTCTTTTGATTTAGCTTTTTGATTTTCATATATTTGGTGATTTAGTGATCAAATTTTGGCTTTTTGATAGTGAAGGAAGTCAAAATTGCAGTTGTTTTTGATGCGCGTAGTGCTAAACACCTGTTGTCAGTGACAACATATTGCGCACTCTGTTATTTGTTTTATTACTTCTTTGTTTTTAATTGCGCATATACACCTGCGCCAGCGCCTTTCATTTGAAGTACGCACAGAGGAATTATCCTTTATTACAATATGAACATTTTATGTTACTATTAATATGAAATAATATGAATAATAAATAAATAAATGAATAATAATAATAATAATAATAATAATAATAAATAATTATATTACTGTATTTGTAAAGATATATATATTACACTTTGTACTGATATGTGCGTTGGGTGTGTTTGAGTGCTGATAATATTATTATAGTTCACAATTTGGTATTTATTCAATTATTGTTTTTATATTTTCCTGTTTTACGTGATTAACTTAATCATAATTTGTTCTTGAATCGATTGGGTGAGTGGTACATACGCGGTATTATTTTATTTTACTTTTAGGCTCTGTATAAGCTTGGCTTGTTAGAGCTCTTGTGAGTTGTGTGCCGCGGGGTTTCATATCCTTAAACTGCTGGCGAACAGAGCAACAAGACCAAGCTCTGTAATTGTTAGGTTTCTCCAATGGTAGGTTTGTCCAATAATGCCGAGTTTGTGCCACGGAACCTAGTCGGACATTTCGATTATATTCTTTTTATGTCATACGTCTTTATCCTTTTTTTGTTTTTCTTTAAATATTTTTTATAGTTTAGTCTACCTTGCTGATACCTCCTCAAAATATATACGATAGACTATCATTAATTCTGCTGCATTACCATATAGCTTACTTAGAGGTTACTGCAGATCAATCACCTGTACTGTATCTAGAGTATAGTTAATTAGTGTAGGAGAACAGTAAAAACAGTGGGGCCATTGAAGGAGCGTTCACGTCGCGGTCCGTCAGATGAAAATCTGCGAATCCTTCAACCACACTACTCAAGTTTCTTTTAGTAACTACCACAACCAACACCATGGCTACCAATGACAATGATGACCAATTTGTTGCTGAGGCCCAGGGTCGAACTCATGGGTCCTTGTCAGGACCGGCCCTGAGTATCATCTCATCCAACATTGAAGGTCTTTCAGGCGCCAAACAAGAACTCTTGGCTGACCTATGCATAACAACCAACTGTGACATTCTCTGCCTCCAGGAGACCCATCGCGGGCCTACACGAGTTCGCCCTCGTATCTCCGGAATGACCCTCATCGCAGAGAGACCACATGACCAATACGGAAGTGCAATCTTTGCCCGTAATGGTCTTGCTGTGGACAAATCTTACCTATCAGACATCAATAACATTGAAGTCCTTTCTATTGACCTAATGGGAATCACCGTAAGCTCCGTGTACAAGCCACCTCAAGAGCCTTTCGACCTGCCCGGCAGAGCTACTGACGGCAGGATGAATGTGGTCATTGGTGATTTCAACAGCCATAGCATTTCCTGGGGATATAGAGAAATGAACGAAGATGGTGAACTCGTTGAGACATGGGCAGATGCTAACCAGCTGTCCCTAATTCATGACGCTAAGCTTCCTGCCTCTTTCAACAGTGCAAGGTGGAGACGTGGCTACAACCCTGACCTGATATTTACATCTACCAGGATTGCTAACCAGTGCGAGAAAGTCATTCTCGACCCAATCCCTCACTCCCAGCACCGACCGATAGGGCTTAAGGTTAATGCAGTCATTACTCCACGAGCAGTACCCTTCCGACGTCGTTTTAACCTGAGGAAGGCAAACTGGGAAAAGTTTGCTAAGGACTTTGACTCCTACATCCAGGACCTACCTGCCACCCCCCAAAACTACGACACCTTTGTAGAGTTGATGAAGAAATCGTCAAGGCGTAACATCCCCCGAGGATGTCGCACAAGCTACATTCAAGGCTTGACGGACCACTCCAAGGTGATGTATGAAGACTACATTGAACAATTCCAGATGGACCCCTTTAGTGAGGAGACACTGGAATCTGGAGAAAATCTGACCAAGGAAATTGGTGAATCTAGAAGGAGGAAGTGGCAGGAATTCATTCAATCCACTGACATGACACATAGCAGCAGGAAGGCATGGAAAACAATCCGGATACTGGGCAATGACTATACAAAGGCCCAACCAAGATCTGAAGTCACTGCTGACCAAGTTGCCCATCAACTCCTATTGAATGGTCGGGGAAACCCTGACCATCACCCCAGAAGAGCCAGACTCCCTAAGGCCCCAGACGCTCTAAGCTCTCAAGATGACCAAGGCTTCACTAGACCGTTCACCATGGACGACCTGCTTGCTGCCATCAAAGCGATGAAAAACAACAAAGCTGCTGGACTTGATGACATCCTCTGCGAGCAGATCAAACAGCTTAGACCAGGCGCCCTCAACTGGCTTCTCAAAATGTTCAACGAATGTTTGGGCACCAACAACATCCCAAAGCTCTGGAGGAAATCCAAAGTTATTGCCCTATTGAAGCCTGGTAAAGACGCAGCCAGTCCAAAGAGCTACAGGCCTATCTCCCTACTGTGCCATACATATAAGCTGTTCGAGCGGCTTATCCTTAACCGCATCGCCCCATTCGTGGATGAACATCTCATTCCAGAACAAGCAGGGTTTAGGCCAGGAAAATCATGCACTGGCCAACTCCTAAACCTCACTCAGTTCATCGAGGACGGGTATGAGAGTAAGCTAATCACCGGAGCTGCTTTCGTTGATCTCTCTGCTGCCTACGACACCGTGAACCACAGAATCCTTACCAGGAAGATCTTTGAGCTGACAAAGGACGTGAGACTGACTGGACTCATCCAGACGTTGCTGTCCAATCGGCGATATTTTGTGGTTCTCAATGGGAATCGCAGCAGATGGCGCAGACAGAAAAATGACCTACCACAAGGAAGTGTGCTCGCACCGTTACTCTTTAACGTGTACACGAATGACCAACCGATCCACCCAAACACCAGGAGCTTCCTCTACGCCGATGATCTCTGCATCGCCACCCAGAACCAGTCTTTTGTGAAGTTGGAGGAGTCCCTCAGTGATGCCCTGGCCGGTCTCATCCCATACTATGCGACCAACCACCTGAGAGCTAACCCTGATAAAACTCAGATAAGCGCATTCCACCTCAAGAACAGGGATGCCAACCATCAACTAAGGATCAGCTGGTATGGGAAAAGGCTGAAGCACACTCCCAACCCAGTCTACTTAGGCGTCACACTCGATCGCTCCCTTACCTACAAGAACCACATTGCCAACACAAAGGCAAAAGTTGGAGCCCGCAACAGCATCCTCAAGAAGCTAGCCAACACCAACTGGGGGACTGATGCCAGAACAATCCGGACGACAGCCCTCGCGCTTTGCTTCTCTGCTGCGGAGTATGCATCACCAGTATGGAGTAGGTCGGCCCATGCACCCAAGATTGACCCAGCTCTAAATTCATCTTGCAGAGCGATCACTGGATGCCTAAGACCAACTAAAGTAGAAGACATCTACCTGCTCTGCGGTATTGCCCCTCCACACGTCAGAAGGTTGGTCTTGTCCCAGAAAGAAAAGGACAAACAAGAAAACAATCCACTCCACCCACTCTTCGAACAACAGCCAGTGGGCAAGCGGCTTAAATCCAGACACAGCTTTCTGCACTCGGTAGAGCCTCTTAATACTAGCCCTCACAACCAAAGGATGACTTTGTGGTCTAACCACCTTCAGACCACTCCACATAAACTCTCCCTCAGCCCTAAGGAATCCCTCGCAACCGGCTCCAGTGAGACTTGGCCTACCTGGCTTAGCCTCAACCGCCTAAGAACTGGCTACGGTCGATGCAGAGTCCTAATGCAGAGGTGGGGTCTAGGAGACGAACAAACGGCATGTGAATGCGGCCAGGAACAGACAATGGAACACCTGCTAGTCTGCCCACTCCTGCCAGAGCCATGCACCCAAGATGACCTGGAAGCCGTTAATTGCCGTGCTAAAGCCTGTGTGGACCACTGGACGGGACTTGTGTAGTGACTCGATAAGAAGAAGAAGAAGTAGTAGTAGTAGTAGTAGTAGTAGTAGTAGTATAGTAGTAGTAGTAGTAGTTTAGTAGTAGTAGTAGTAGTGGTGGTGGTGGTGGTGGTGGTGGTACTACTGCTATGACTGCTACTACTACTGCTACTACTACTAGTATTGTACTACTGCTGCTATTACCACTAATACCGGGTAATACTAATCTAGTAGTAGTACTAATACTGCTGCTTCTACCACTACTACTATACTACTACTTTCACTACTAATACTACTACTACTACTACTACTACTACTACTACTACTACTACAACTACTGCTTCTACTCCTGCGGCTGCAACTCACTTTCTTAATTTTAGTAGGGAGCCCGTTTGAATGTAATAGGCCATATTGCACGAATTTCAAATGAAGCTATCCTCGAAATTCTTGTTTACATTAATATAAAAGGTTAATGTTTTTAAAGGCATATGTATGATCCGAATTCTACAAAGTTTGGTTTGTGTAGATGGTTCCTACTTACTATTTCCTACAAACTGAACTAGTTGTAAAATTGATCTGACACCTGCTCCAGAGACAATCGCTATGGGCTTTCTTTCGTCAAACGTATATGGTTGGGTTTGCAAATGGGCAGTAGGTTAGCTATATTTTAGGGTTAGAGTTAGGTATAATGTTTGTAACATGGTCCAGGATTGAGGTAGGTTATGGATAGCGGCGAAATTGTGTTGAATAACTTGAATTAATTAAGCAAAATTATAGCGTCTTGTACTCATTAAGTCTCCATGTGCTTTACATAGTAATGTAGAATATCGATATTTTTTCATACAAATAATTTCAATTGCAAATATAAATCTGAATTGTTCATTGAAATTCATCAAACTACGGATAAGTGGGAAAATACACCAGTAGAATAAGCAGATAATCGATAACATAATTAATTTGCCTTTATCTTTAGGTCTGTACAAATGAAAAAATTAATCAAAATATATTATGATAACATGAAATTGATACATACCATAGCTACAGAACAGAGCATAGGATTTAAGGAAACCATTTGCTACTAATTTCTTTCGTTGTTCCATGTTTTTGATAGAATGCTCTAGCGGAGGCTGAAAGTCTTTTTCAGAAGCTGGGATCAAAGAGAGAGGTAAGTGGACATAGTGGTCATTGGTATCAAACTGTTTTGGTGTTTACCCATATCCTTTTGTTGACGTCAAATATCTTGATGACGACTGGAATGAAAGAAACTGAATAATTCAATAAAAACACAATTATCGTATTTGAGATGGTTCAATTCACCATTGCTAAAAAAATTAAATGATGATATTCAGGTGGCATTTTGAGAACTAATGGAGGTCTGTCTTAGCAAGTGATTCATATGCATTTAACAAAGAGAGAGAAAAAAAAAGAGAGAGAGAGAGAGAGAGAGAGAGAGAGAGAGTTATTTAGATAGAAAGCGAGTAAAAAGATTCAAGAAGTAAAGAAGTATAGTAAAGCAAATTCAAAATTTAGATTGTTAAACGAGTCACTTTGAAATGTGTTTGTGGATTTGAACGTCTTTCCCACTATATAAGCTATATTTTTGTATGATTTTTGTGATATTTGAATCATGGAACTTATCACTTGCTATCAAGACAAACTATAGTATGAATATTTTATATATTATATTCTCGACTAGACAGGTAGATTCAATTCTCTATTAAATTATATGAAAACTAGTCAGGCCGTAAATACTTTCAAGACTTTACATAAATTCATGTTCTGATATCAATGTCATTGTCATATTTGCACCAATTGCACAAGGCTATATAAATGGCCTTAGGTGTCTTTTAAAAAAATATAATTGTCTTTCGCAATCATGTTCTTATTTCATCTTTTAATTTCTATAATAGTTTTCAGCTGCTGCTCTTCGTGACACGGTCGGTGAGGGCGTTGGTGATGCTGATCTTATTTGGTTCATGAGACCTCACGAAGCTGCTTATCACATTCAGTTTCCTGACGCCGACTACGCAGCTACACGCACACCGACAGCAGCTGATCACGTGGACGGTGAGATGAGCCAATCAAGGCCCACAACGGCACCGGACGGCAGGCGGCTGATGGGCAAGGCGCCATTTGTACCCAAGAAATACGCAAGAGGGATTCGGCATAGATTGAGAAGTGCCAAGGTACACGACAATGAAAATCCAGGGTTGGCTCAGCAGTCATGTATTATACTGTGAAACAGAATGACCTTTCACTACTGCCAAGGAATGTCCAACTGAGAGAAAGTCACGCGAAAAATTAACTTGTCACGTGATAAATATCAAGTTTGACTTGAACATCTCGACGAAACATGCTGTTATGGTTTTTCCATTATTAGGTTTATCTAATCGCCGCTAACAAACGTTCTTGGCCCGATTTATGCTTGCCAACTTAAATATTTTTCCTCGATTTTAAAGAAAAAGAAATGATACTTTGATTATTGCCAGGATGTGCTTACACCAAAACACATGAATTTCAAAGTTGATAACCAATTTGAAGTGTAGATTTTGGGAACAAAAAAGAAAGTAAGTTTTTCTTTTATTATAGATACATAATCTTTTGATCCTGATCTATTGATCTGTCTACACGTCATTCAACATTCTAATTTTTATCACATTTTGTAGCTCTTTAATCAATTAGTAAAAAGTAAAAATATTTTTGTCTTCACGGTTTGTCATTCGTTGTATTGAAATCTAGATTATGGTTAGGGGCAGCAACCCCATCTCCGCAGGCGCGGATCCAGGGGGGGGGCCGAGCGGGCCTTGGCCCCCCCCCCCCGCAAAAAAAAAAAAAAAAAAAGAGAAGAAAGGAAAAGAAGGGAAAGAGAAAGAAAAGAGAAAGGGAAAGAAAGAAGAGGAAGAAGAAAAGAAAAGAGGGAAGAAGGAGATCGGGGGAGGCGAAAGGGCCTTGCCTCCCAGGCTGTTGACCCCCCCCCCCCCCCCCCAATCAAAAAAATAAGAGAGAAGGAAGGAAAGGGAAAGAAAAAAGGAAAAGAGGAAAAGGGGGGGGGGGGCTTGGGGGAAATCAAATTCAAACGTGGTTTATTTCTAATTCCACAACGGTGGATTACAAATAATGCAGAAATGACATAATTTCCGAGATTTTTCCTCACTTTTTGAAAGAATGAATTCAGACAAGGATTAAGAATCGAGAACGGTACAACGAATCGCCTTCTTTCTCTCATAATCTTATGAAACGTCAAAGCTTCCGCGCTTCGCGCGGGAGGGGGGAACCTGAAATCAGACGAGGATTCAGAGGCGAGCACGGTAATACGAATCTTTAATGATTTAATGGAACGTAAAAGCTTCCGAGCTTTGCGCGGGATGGAGGGGGAACTAAATTCCGATGAGGATTATTTTCGAGAACGGTACAACGAATCGTCTTCTTTCTCTAATGATTTAAGGAAATTTAAAAGCTTCCGCGCTTCGCACGGGAGGGGGAGAACCTAAATTCAGACGAGGATTAAGAGTCGAGAACTCGGCAACGAATCATCTTCTTTCTCTAATAATTTAACAAATCTTAAAATTTTCCGCGCTTTGCGCGGGAGGGGAAAAACTAAATTCAGACGAGAATTATTTTCGAGAACGGTACAACGAATCGTGTTTTTTCTCTAATAATTTAATGAAACGTCAAAGCTTCCGCGTTTCGCGGAGGAGGGAGGGGGAAAATCGCCCCTCCCTGCACCGACCCCCCCCCCCGCATTACGTCACTGTTTGTCACCATTACGTACCAATATTTGGCTCGCAAAATTTCAAATTTGGGCCCCCCCCCCTAAGAAATCCTGGATCCGCGCCTGCTGCGTCGGAGGCCCAGCCTTATGTACCTCTTCATTGAAAATCTGGATTGTTTTCTTCTGCTTTTTAATCTCTAAGTCTTTTTTCTTTTTTTTTTGTCGAAATTATGACGCGAAACTCTTTATAAAAAAAAATGTGCAGTATTTCTGTCCATGTATTTTGCGTTTCAATGGTTTGACTGTGTTGTGTCTTATTACTATTTATATTTTTGTAACTTTTTGTGTTATATTTGTACATATTCTTTCACAACTGTTTCGAAAGCTTTGTTTTATTTTTTCGAGAAAATTGATTATTTAAGAATGTATACAAGTCATGTATGTCAAACAGTCTTACATCTAATTCAGTTTTTATGCATAAGGAAATACTGCACGTATTAAGCACAGTCTGTCATTCTTAAATTTCATATATTTAACTCTCTTTATAAAAACATTAAACAGATACATAATATTGACGAAGTACATGTAAAGTTCAGGATTTTGAACTTTCAAATGTACTGTTTATTCATATCAATACTTCATTTCACTTTAAAAACCCTTATAATTAGGTTTGGACTGCTTCATCGCAAACAATTAAAGGCTATATAAGATTGCTGGACCCCCGGCCAAAAAAATTGAGTGTAAGTTCATTGTCGAGGAAGATAAAAAGCTTGGGTACATAATGTATTTCATAATCGTATATAGTATTGTTCACAGTGAAATACCTCCCCTTTTCAATGATTTTTGTAAAGCGCATTCATTATTTTGTTAAAAAAGGTGAATATAAGAATGGCAAAACGCATGTTAATACGGATCGGTATGTATATATGTATATATGTATCTCTATAAATATTTTACGGTTGGTATTTGATGTGAGTCCCCATGTTCAAGCCTCGTTCAGATATGCTGCCGTAAAACGCAGCGTTTTTTTTTGTTGTGATGACGTTTGCATGCCACACTATTTTTTATCTTATAACACAGAGGTAAGTGAAAACACGTAATAGCACCTTAGTTGCGCGCAGTTTCAATTCATTTTCACGTTTTAAAAAAAGCTCCGTGGTTTACCGCGGCGTATCTGGTATGAGCCTTTACAGTAATTTAAAAGTGAAGATTAAATTGTAATATTCTTAAGGGAAAACTTATGTTTATAGAGTATAACTATTTCATTTCATTTTATTTTGGGGCCCGAATTTAGTGCTTAAAAATAATAATTTGGCTATTAATGTTTATATGAGAATATGACAGGTGGTAAAAAAAAATATTAGCAAGATATTAGTGATAACACTGCTAAAATATATACAAACACATGGGCATAAGGTAAAATAAATTAAAGAAAATTGTGACAGTGAAAAATATGCGTCAGGTGTCCAAAATAAATACATGTATACAGATACGTGTATTTTGATAATGTAATATTTTCCCCCGGTTTCTCTTTGAAGTGAGAATTATGTAATTATTGGTTTTATGGAACCAAAATCGAGGCGAAGGGGCAAGATTTGCTCTTGAAAATATTCATTAAATTATATTCCGCAATAGATGGCGGTATTAAAATCATATCATGCATCTTGTTTGTATTTCTGTTTGTTGCATGTACTCATGTTTATCAATATTCCAGATATGCAAAATTTTGCTATTCCAGTATTATATAATTATGTGCAGTTAAGAATTGGTATGGAACGTAGTGGCAAGAACTGGTGGTAAATTACCTTTATTACACTTGAATACAAACACGGCGGTTTGGTTAACCCTCTGTTAACCCTGCACCCCTTCTACTACTTAACCCCCCCCCCCCCCGTAAACATTCACATTCACACTCACAAGCTCGCACATCAGAAACATACACAGATTCACACGCCCTCAACACTGGACACATCATACCTGTTCACATTCACACGCGCACAACACTGGATACATCATACCTGTTCACATTCACACGCGCACAACACTCTTGACACATCATACCTGTTCACATTCACACGCGCACAACACTGGACACATCATACCTGTTCACATTCACACGCGCACAACACTCTTGACACATCATACCTGTTCACATTCACACGCGCACAACACTGGACACATCATACCTGTTCACATTCATACGCGCACAACACTGGACACATCATACCTGTTCACATTCACACGCGCACAACACTGGACACATCATACCTGTTCACATTCACACGCGCACAACACTGGACACATCATACCTATTCACATTCACATCCTTATTTACTTTGTTCTTCCCACTTTTGTAGGTGCAAATTCAACTTGCTTATCTTCACTGCAAAGTTCTTTTCTTCCTCTTTAAATTCCGCAATATATATTTAATGAAAAAAGACCGAAGAATTCACACATTTATTTCTATTTCCACTTCGAATTACCAGGTAGTTCCATGAATATATCCCTTCCCCCCCCCCCCCCCCCCCCATTCATATCTCTTGATTCAGCCAAGCCGAAATATTGAATACAGAATTGCCATAACTGTTTAGCTTCCGTGCAGTTCAAAATATATACAGTATATAAGTAATCCATATACACACACACATACACACGCACACACACCCACGCACATATACATATATATAAATAAGCAAACAAAACATAACAAGTTAGAATTGTACTTCCTCTCGAAATGCATCAGATAATGCTCAAAGTTATTTCATTGATTAATACAAATATAAGGAAGAACTTTAAATGCTGTTAGTAAGAATGAAACTAAACCTTCTGCTGTCTCATGGACAAATGTAATGTCAGTAACTATAGCGTGGGTAATCCTTTACAATTTGGAGGGAAAAAAAAATGATAGGTCCAGTGATTTTCTACTGTCACCCATTGAAATTCACCCTAATATTTTTAAGAAAGCCTCAAGCATGGACACTTTTAACTTAAGGCCTCTTTGTAATTCATCCATGTCAACATTATGAAATGTTAGTAATCGACACGTTTGTTGGGCTGGTACAAAGTACAGTTCACTTTTAAGGTTGACATTTTCCATCGGAGCTTTGACCCCACTTTGCATAATGTATGCAAGAGTCGCGTGGCGCGAAGGTTGAATAAGAGTAGGGCGTTGCTATCTAACGACCACCCGATTTTGCTCCAGCAAGGATTTGTGATAGATAGTGCTTCCTTGTGTGGTGTTAGAGTCGGATTGTAATGGAAGGTGCTTCAGGCAATATTGAGCAGCCAGTAATCAGAGGACAAGAAGGTGAGCCTGTATCATTAGATGCTCTGACTAATGCAATAAATGAGGCCGTAGCAGGGGCTTTAACGCAAGCGATTGGGGGAATCCATAGTTATGTTGACAATCAACTTGAATCGCAAAAGAAAGCAAACGAAAAGGCTTCTTTTGACATACAAAAGCTCAAAGCAAAGAAGGTACAGTTTAGGTTCAAAGGGAACGAGGAACAAGTAAACTTTAATTGCTCCATATTAGATCAATTACAGGAAGCCACGAAATCACTTCCTTTGGGCAATAGTGCTGCTACAATCCTTCAGAAAGCCGAAGAAGATTTAAGGCAAAGGAACAAGCTGGTTAAGCTTGCAGATAAGTCTGAAGCGGGGTGGTTGGCTGTTGATGAGTATATGGCGGATGATTTAGCAGAGGATAGTGAAGATGATAAGAAGATCCGTTCTGCCCAAGCCAGGGCAGCAGCTAGGAAGAAAAAGTCCAGTATGAAATCTGTTCCTAAATCCAAGCCATATCAGGCGAGGAGATCGATGGCTTCTCCCGCCAATCCGGCTTATATGCCCAGTTATGCTAATAATTTTCGTGGCCCAATCCGCCATAATACCCCTTACACGAGACCATACAATCCTACCTATCAGTCAGGCCCCAAGTCAACTGATTTCTGCTTCTCCTGTGGGAAGACGGGACATTGGAGACGGAATTGCCCTGGCTTTAGCCCCAAATTGTCGAAAGAATTGTCGAAAGATGGCCAGTAACAGAATT